GGAGAAATAACTCTGTTTGGATAACTGAATATCCCGGTGCTAATAAAAAAAGTAGGAACAATAAGTGACTCTTCTAATACATAAGGTGTATCTACAAATTATTACTAGGATTAAATGTGGATAGAACCCCTGCGGTATTGATTTTTGAACTTACTACACCTCTTTTATTTTATTCTTGCAAATAGACTCTTTGAGTGAAAATCTTTTGTTTCTCTTACCCTCAGAAAATTTGTTGTTTGACAAATAGAACCCCTGAGGGGAGAAATAACTCTGTTTGGATAACTGAATATCCCGGTGCTAATAAAAAAAGTAGGAACAATAAGTGACTCTTCTAATACATAAGGTGTATCTACAAATTATTACTAGGATTAAATGTGGATAGAACCCCTGCGGTATTGATTTTTGAACTTACTACACCTCTTTTATTTTATTCTTGCAAATAGACTCTTTGAGTGAAAATCTTTTGTTTCTCTTACCCTCAGAAAATTTGTTGTTTGACAAATAGAACCCCTGAGGGTAAACAAATAAAAAAAATCACTCAGGGCGAATATCTGCAAAAATAAAACTACCAGGTTAGTGAGTTCTAAATTTTGCTTACTACAGGGGACTATCCGCAGTGAAGGATTATTTCTAAGAAATATACGAACAAATTTGAGGCGCTTTTGGATGTGTACCAGAGAAATATGGCAGCTGAGCAAGTCGGCTTTCCAGGAGAAGAAGATGGATGTGCACACGAGGCTGATGAGCAGATACAATCAGGTTCCTGAGTGGTGGTTCATCTGCATCCTTGTGGCCAACATTGCGCTCACAATCTTTGTGTGTGAGTACTATAATGATCAGCTTCAGCTTCCATGGTGGGGTGTTTTGCTCGCATGCGCCCTCGCCATTTTCTTCACTCTTCCTATTGGGATAATCACAGCAACCACAAATCAGGTATTTTTTTTCTTAATAATAAAATTTTTGAAATTATGGTGCAGAACTAGAGTTAACTGTCTTTAATTGTATGAAACAAATAAGCAGACACCAGGACTGAACATAATCACAGAGTACATCATGGGATACTTGTATCCTGGCAGGCCAGTTGCCAACATGTGCTTTAAGGTTTATGGGTATATCAGTATGAGTCAGGCATTGACATTTCTGCAAGATTTCAAGCTTGGGCACTACATGAAGATACCCCCGAGGACGATGTTCATGGCTCAGGTCAGTGTGCCTACAAACAATCTAAATTTTTTACAGGAATTCAAAACAACCACGACAACAACAAAGTTTTTCTAAAATTTTTTTGGGGTTGGTTACATTAACCTTCTCTTCCACTCAGTTCTGACAATCTCCTCCACTAAGTTAATCATTATCATATCCTTCTTAAAGACTTCTAACCAAGTTCTATTAACTATTAAGTCTATTTGTAGTTTTGTACTCCTCCTTTCTCTATTAAATATAATACTATCAGTTATTCTAATTAGTATACCTAATAGCTTGCATAGCATGTGACTAGACCATTTCAAAAGATTCTCTTATTTTATCCTTAATAAGTCATATGACTCATTTCTTATCCTACCTCTTCGAATATATTCAGTTACCCATTGTAACATACTTATTTTTGATACATTTACTTTTTTCCACGTGTCTGCTCTTAATTTCCGACATAAACAATTAGAGTGTTATAGGTCGTCGTATAGAATTTTACACTTCCATTTCCAAAAAAATTCTATAATAACATAGGATTTCAGAAGCACTCCTTGAAGATACTAATTCTTAATCACTGTGAACAAAAATGGTCAGGTTGTAGGAACATTGATAGCAGCGATAGTTTACCTCGGAACAGCGTGGTGGCTGATGGACTCAGTCTCCAACATCTGCAACACCGAGCTCCTCCCCTCCGACAGCCCATGGACATGCCCAGCCGACCACGTCTTCTATGATGCCTCCGTCATCTGGGGCCTCATTGGGCCCCGCCGCATCTTCGGAGACTTCGGCACCTACTCTGCCGTCAACTGGTTCTTTCTCGCTGGTGCCATCGCCCCTCTCCTTGTCTTTCTCGCTCACAGAGCTTTTCCATCTCACAACTGGATTAAACTCATCAATGCGCCTATTCTCATCGGAGCAACTGGCCAAATGCCACCGGCGACAGCTGTGAATTATACAAGTTGGATTATTATTGGATTCTTGTCGGGGTTTGTTGTGTATAGATATCGAAGGGATTGGTGGCAGAGGCATAATTACTTGTTGTCGGGGGCTTTGGATGCAGGGCTCGCATTCATGGGGGTGATGCTGTACTTGTTCCTGGGGTTGGAGAACATCAGTTTGAACTGGTGGGGAAACGACTTGGATGGATGCCCTTTGGCTTCTTGTCCTACTGCTCCTGGGATTGTTGTAGATGGTTGCCCAGTTTCATTCTGAAACGATAATTGTTTGTACATGTATTTGTGATGTTAATAATTCATAACAGGAGAACATTGATAAACAATATTTGCATGAACTTTCCCAACATATTGTACATTATTCTTTTACAGTTATTTCTGTACTGGAATATTTTCTCATGGCTCATGTAAAAGAAAGGAGCTAAATGGCTCTCTCCACTCGCAAGTGAAAATTATTCGATGTCGCTAGATTTTTTTTCCTTTCTACAAATCTGTTGCATGCAAGCAATCTGTACAACATGATACAAAACAATGTTTGAAATTCAGGATAAAAGTTTCTGAATACTTTACATATGCACTTACTCGGCAATATCATATGAGCACACAGTGTTATGTACATGCTCACACACACAAACCGAGGGCGAAAACCAGGAGAAGAGGGGCGCCGGGGGCGTGCGGTGGGGGGGGGGTGTTAATGCCACTGATAATCCATGAGAGCTAGACTCAACCAAGAACTAGCTTCCACTAGTTAAACTATAAAATTTTTGCAATTGAACTAACCTGTGCTTTCATCAGATGTATCTAAAAGTAGGAAGACTGATCATGAAGCACATCCAAATGGGCAAGTACCCGGGCTGCCAAAGCTCGGATTTTCCTACTTCCTCTCTGAGCTATGTCAACTAGAGGCATCTGTGCTGAAGCACCATACATTTTCTTGTGCTCCTCCAACTGGAAAATCTTCTCCAAGACTCGCAGAGCCTTTTCCTGCAGATTAGTGTCATGAGAAGTCAAGAGACGTATTACTGGCCCGATTCCTTCTGATGCCGAAATTACTCTTCTGCCTCTTTCCAGCATTTCACCCTCCAGTAGAGTTGCCAGTGCCTTCAAAGAAGCTTCACATACAGTATGATCTTCCTCTCCTAGCAATCTCACTAATGGCTTCACTGCATCAGCCTCCAACAGACAAAACGAAGTCTCCACTGAACAAACACCCAAGTGAACTGCACAACCTAATTCAGGTGGAGTTGAGCAGCAGAAGAAGAATTTTGGTTTATCTATGGGCCTGCTAAGAGAAAGCGAGCTCTCCGAAAATTGAGCTAAGCATGTCGCTGCATATATTTTTGTCAAAGCAGTGCCAGACCCCAACAGCTGAACAAGCATTGGGATCACCCCAGCCTCAGCTGCCCTCCTCTGAGACTCATGGTTTGTCGACACAGTGAAGAAACATAAAGCTCCTACAGCATTCTCCAGAATTGGATTCTTTAGTAACCCAACAAGTCTAACATCGGTCAGAAATGTAATAATGCTTTTAAGTGCCTTTGCATCAAGAAGCCACTGCGTGAATTTATCATATCCTGCAGGAAGTTTTGATATAATGCCCATTGCAGCAGCTATTTCTTCCTCATCATTAGATGTTTCAATGATCGATGATAAGGCTTTCAAGAAACTCTGACCCGCATCAGCTGTAAATAAACTATCATCTCCACCTTCCATTAAGCACGACAGCAACTTCACAGCACTTGCCCTTAAGATAAGATCAGTGTGCTCACAAAGTGGTATCAGTACTCGAATTGCCGAGAACTGCATTGCGGGGAACAAAACCAGTAAATAGCTGATAATATTCTTCATATTAAGTTTTAAATATCAGTAAATAGCCTTCGCACTCAAAAGTGCTAGAATGTAGGAGAGATTCAGACTAAAATATTCAAGATTATGAATTAGTGCTTGACAACCAAAAGGATGCTGAAGAAGAGGGTAGCTATATTATCCTAATTGTTCATATATGGCACCTCTCGTATCAGTCAGCCACTTGACCATCTAGCGGGTTCATCAGATTCTTAGACGACGGTTAGTTGAGTGAGTTTACAATGTGTGTATGCAGTACAAAAGGTGACCATATTACATAAGGATGATTTCATATCAGGGTTGTATGTATAACATAGTGTTACAATGGTTTCCTGAGAAAAAAGCATACTACTCATGTAGTTTCTAGTAACTATGTTCATGCAGTGTAAGACCTATAAAGTTGTCTCGCTCCTTTGAACTAGAAGTGGACAGCTAAGAAACATAAATTTATTAAGCTACATCACAATTAGTATAAGAACATCATTTGTATTGTATCAACATCTGAACCTAGTATTAACATTATCCATGACTTGAGTGTTCACAATACTTTCAGATGTCTTCCATGACATACATCAATCAATCAGAAACCAATATCCACGAACATAAATTTAATCCTTGTAAGTAAAAAACAACGATTACAACGAGAACAGAGCCTATAGTCAAATCTCAAGGTTACAAATGAGTAGAACAAGTTTAGAAATCAGTCAATCATATAGGAAAAAGGAATTTTCGTGTGAAAGCTTACCTGTCTTAACCTAGTTCTCATGTCTTTGGATGATGGAAGTTGGCCCAAGGCATAAAATGTTTGGAGAATGCTGCACTGTATATTGGGCCCTGTCGAGATAATTAAGGAGAAAAGCCAGGAGATATCATCATCAGATTCTAGAAATCCCAGGGATTCATCATCTTCAACAGTTGGTACTGATTTGGCAATATTCATGATAGTAACAGCCACCAATTCCTGTAGAACAGAAGATGTTGAATCGTGAGGGCGTAAAAGGTCCATAAATTGATGAACTGCCCTTTTACGGATCATCTGTAAACCATTCTGGTGTAAGCTTGAGAGGCTTTGTAGGGCTTTAACAGCCATAATTTTTATATCTCTATCCCCATGTGAGACCAAATGCAGAAGTGGTTCAAGTGCGCCATCTCGAAACAGGTCGGCTTTACTGTGATCTGTCAGCTCCATCTCAGCCAAAGTTGCTACCATGACCTTCTTTATGTCACCTGATCCTGGTGATTTTAAATCAACACAATCAAGAAATTAAGCAATCGATATGCGTGCCATTCTGCCAACCCTCACATATAAAAAAAAGGAAACGTTTTTCAGACCCTAAACCAATGTAAGTGCTAACTCTTGTGAAACTTCGGCTAAACTAAAATCTCTTTCAGCCTAAATGCTTCCATATTAGAAATGTTTTCTCATATTAACTACTAAAATTTTAAGCTAGGGAGGCTCTATAATATCTTATCTATGTGTCAGACACAGCAAAAACATTTTCTTAGAATGAAGTATCAGGAGGCTAAAACATGCATCATCAAAAGGTTTTACAATATCTACATCTATGTTTTTAACATAATGTATGAAACATATCAGGTCTCGTTCATTTCAGAGTCAAAAAAGCTTTCTTGTATCTACCAGGATTTTCCCCAATCATAATTGTTATAAAAATGGAAATGTATAATTCTACATAATAACTCATGCAAACAGTTAAAGCTCAATACTCCTCAGACTGTGTCCTACATATAATCAGAAATACGGCAATATTCACTGTTTAGTGACAAATGAAGATCAACGATTGATTCCAATTCTGCAGACATGGCGTGATTACTTTACGAGAAATTGGTGGGGATCAGTTGGAAAGCTACCTTTTCTGTTAGTAACCATCATCATTGTTCAAAGTGACTTATAAGAACTAGGTAGTTCTAATACAATATGAGAAAAATCAACAACAACACTACAACATCATAGCAGCTAAACTTAGCTAAGAAATATAGAAGAGCATCAAGAAATGATAGAGTTCCCAACAGCTCTGTTGCATCAGTGGCAGCTTGATTGTTATCACCGTTTGAAATCGTCACCAAGAGAAGAATGCAGCCATGAACCCTGCCAATACTGTCTCTAACCATCTCACATCTTGACATTTCTAAAAGCAATGCCACTGCTAATTTACGTTCTTCACTCCTTCGTGCTAGGGAGCGCACAATGGATTCAACAGAATTTTCAACATCAGCAATTAGTTCCTGCAAGCAAACTGCACCAATCTCATTCCTCATTCCTCAAACTACAAAATCAGATGTTCTTTTCGTTGAAATAAATTTACCTTAATGCCATCATTGTCTTTCGCCAAGGCGCTGAGGATGGACAGGACAAGATGCCTAATCAATCGATTACTCTTGGCAAGAAGCCCAACAAGAATCTTCAAACAATTCTCCAATACAACATACTCTCTATAAGACTCTTTCTCTTCGCATAGATCTTGAAGCTGGCCAAGGCCTTTGACCATCTCTTCCTCATCAGCAGACCCAAGAATCGATTTAATTGATGCAATTCTAATAATGGCATTCCTATCCTTCCACTCTTCAATACTCTTCCTTAAGGTGATATTGGGCCGGAGAACAGTGTTACTCAAAGTTGTCACAGTTAACGGGCAAGTAGTGTTTCCATCAGCAATCCACTTGGTGATGGCTAACCTCTCAAAGGTCTGTCCTGATGATATTTCAACAGGATCTTCCATTATCTCCCCCGTTATAGGGCAATAGAATGATTGCAGAGGGTCTAGCGCACGTCTCCCTAACGCATCCCTCTTCCTACTGTAATTAAACTCCTTCTCCCTTAAAGACAAGGTAGCATCGGCCTTTTCAAGTAGGGCTACAATTTGCTCCATCTGAACTGCCTCAGTCAACTCTTTCTCTTTGCTCTTTCGCGCATTAGCCACTTCTTCCTTGAACTCCCCAAGCTCTCTCGTTAATACCAATGGTTCTTTTGAGACCCCAATCGCATCGGCAATGAGCGTTAGCAAGCTGTTTGCATATGAACGGGTGAAATTCCGTTCCTGGATGCCCAAATCAATCTCATTTAGAACTTCCTCCTCGGCTGCCGTCGTCCGAAATTCAAACAGCAACAATTCCTTGCTCAGTCCTTCTGTATCGTCAGCTGCACCATTCATTGAACAAAGGAGGCTCAGGGCTTGGCCTATTTCCTTTGAAATTGCCTCGAGTTGTGGTTTCAAGATTCTCTGGCAGTTGATGAGGAGATAGACTCTGCTGCGATTTCCACAGCAGTCTTCGGCAAGTGACTTGGCTAGCTTCGTTTGCTGGCTAATGATTCCAATTGCAATATCTATGTCATCATGATGATCATGATGCTTCTTGTTTATTTCTTCTAGTATGTCAATGATTTTTCCCAAGCAAGTAGATAACTGAGAGAAGCTCTTTCTTCCAATTACCACATCCTTTGCTGAACAGATGGTACCGGAGATTTCGTCAATGACGAGAGAGATGGGCTCGGTCGCCATCATCTCCGAAGGCCACAGAAGGTATCTCCAAATGGGGTTATTGTATTGATCAGGAGGAAGAAGAAGATGATGCTCATGATGATTGTTGGTGGACTTTCTCTTCAGGTTTTAGGAAGAGAAAAGGTCAAATTGGTACTAACAACCACTGAACGGGACTGAGTCAAAACATCTGGAATGGATCATCAGATAAAATAAGCTTGTGAATCCGGCTGTCATCATCAGAAGTAATACTGAATTTGGTGATTGTTGGGTAAGCCTTAAACATTTTCTCTGAGTGGCATTTCCTCAAACAGCTTCAGTGCATTCCGAGTTTCGAAAAGAAATTAAGCTCCCTGCTGAGCTCTCCAGAAACCCTACTCCATAAAGGAACACATAGCCGCCCTGCCCGTGATATGATACTCTACTTTCCGAATTATTTTCTTCTCCTTGCCCCCTCTCTTTAAGGCTGTGCAATCAATCGGTCTGTTCCATTTTTGATCAAATTTAGCTAAACCGAACCGAAGCGATTCAAGTCAATTCGGTTCGGTTTGTTCGGTTTTTACTTAGGTACAAATGTTATGTCCAAATTCAATTTCACATCTAATCTATTGACGAAGAAAGAAGTCTCTTATACTTCAATTTATTAAAATTCATAAACTATTAAATGCTGCTGAATATTAGACGTAGAAATTAAAAAAAATCATATTCCTATCAAAGATTCCATAAATTTTTTTAGAGAAAACTTGCATAAAGAATTAAAGTGATCTCAATCTAATAGACAAAGTAAATAAAAAAATATGTAATAACTTGGATGTTGAGTATAGTTTGTGAACACGTGGGCCATAACTTTGAGCAGCAAATGTGTTTTCAATTGGGAAAGTGATCACGTGAATATGGGGGACCACACATGATTAGATTGGCTGGCAAAAGATGAGTGTGTGAGTTGATATGGCAAGTAGGGACCACATGCATGATGTTAACGCGTGAAGAGATGAAGATCAAGCGGACAGAAGAAGGCTCACCCGAATACCCGGTAGAAGCTTATAAATACCTATTGGTTCTTCCTAGGGTTTGTGTGCAATTAAGGTGGGAGTTTTTTGTTTGCGGCTAGGGCGTGAAAAGGAGGTGCGGCTGATTCTTCCTTTTGGCGGCTGAAGAGAGAGGGTGAAAAGAAAGCTTTTGGGCGGCGTGCAAGCAAAGCAGAGGGAGAAAAACAGATTGTTTTTTTGGCTGTTTTGAAGAGTTATTTGCAGCGTCCTTTAGGTTTTAGTATCCCTTTTGTGAGTTTGGTTGGAGGAGTAGATCAATTTGGAGGCCCGTTTAGGACTTCGTTGGTGATAAAGGTGGGATCTTTTGGTAAAGACTCTATCTTTCAGTTTTGGATCTATTCTTTGTTCGTTGGTGCGTAAGATGTCGGGGAAAGAAGGTGCTTCGGGAGTCGAGGGTGGTTCTTCTGGCGTGAAGACTATTCAGAGTTTGAATATCCACTCTATGAAGATAGATGTGGAGAAATTTAATGGCACAAACAACTTTGGATTATGGAGATGCGAGGTTTTGGATGCGCTGAACGCGCAGAATTTGGAGGATACATTGGAGTTAGATGGCAAGCCAGATGAGATTGAAGAGAAGGTTTGGAAGAAGATGAATCGAACGGCGTGTGGTGTGATTAGGTCTTGTTTGACTCAAGATCTAAAATATGATGTGATGAATGAGACTTCTGCGAAGAAGATTTGGGAGATTCTCGAAAGCAAGTATTTGACCAAGAGTGTGGAAAATCGCTTGCATTTGAAGAGGAGACTTTATCGTTTCCAGTTGAAGAAGGGAACCTCCATTAGAGATCACATGAACCACTACACAAAGCTTCTTGCGGATTTGGCGAATGTGGATGTCAAGATTGAAGATGAGGACAAGGCGTTGCTGTTGTTGAGTTCCTTGCCCGACGAGGAATATGAGACCTTCGTCCTTACTCTTATTAATGGGAAGGCATCCCTTTCGTATAGTGAGGTCATTGCTGCACTTGTGAATTATCAGCTTCGAAAGAAGGATAAGGAGGCTTCGGTTGAGCCGGTAGCGGAGGCGTTGGTCGCAAGAGGGAAGGGTCCAAACCGAAAGAATTGGAAGTCACAGTCTAGAGTAGGAAAAGATCAGTGTGCTTGGTGCAAGGAGACTGGTCATTGGAAGAAAGACTGCCCAAAGCTCGACGAATGGATGAAGAATAAGCAGAAGGGGAAAGGGAAGCAGCCATCATCAGAAGCAAATATCGTATCGGATGGTAATAATTCTGACTCTTCTATTTATTCGCTTTCTATCAGTCCTACAGATAGCTATTCGGAGGAATCTGAATGGATGTTGGATAGTGGTGCGACCTATCATGTGTGCCCTAGAAGAGAATGGTTCTCCAGTTTTGAGAAGCTGGTGGATAGTGGTGTGGTGTACATGGCTGATAACCGTGCATGCCAGATCCTTGGGATAGGAAGAATTCGCATAAAGATGTTTGACGGGACTGTTAGATCCTTGGGATAGGAAGAATTCACATAAAAATATTTGACGGGACGGTTAGGGAGACGATGTGAGATATGTTCCTTCTTTGAGGAAGAACTTGATCTCGATTGGAGCTTTGGTTGGAGAGGGTCTGAAGGTTCGTGTTGAGGACATGGTTCTCGAGATTGCGAGAGACTCTCGTATTTTGATGAAGGGCGTCAGGAGCAATAACCTGTATTACTTGACTGGAGGTATAGTGGCAGGTGGAGAGCTGACGACTTCTGTTGATTCGACTAGACTGCGGCATTTGGGGCTTGGCCATTCCAGTATTGATTCCTCGCATAGATTGGAAGAGGGTGCGAAGACCTGCAGTTTGAAGTCCAGTGAACATGTTGATGTGAGCAAGAAGACCGAGGTGAAGTGTGGCACCTCTATTCACCGTGCTAAGGGTCGTTCTGGAGGAGTTCACGTGGATGTTTGGGGGCCTTCCAAGGGGGCATCATTGGGAGGTAATAGGCGTTTGGTTTTCTTTGTTGGTGGCTGTTCTAGGCGTGTTTGGGTTGCAACCAAATCCCCATTGGTGAAAGTCCTAGTAGTCTCTAACAGATTGAAGAAGTGTGTAATGGACAGAAAGGTGAAGGTACTCCATTCTGGTGGGAGGTACAAGATGGACCTGTTTCTGTATTGGAGCCGAGCTCACGGCATTTCGAGACACTTCGTTGGAAAGGAAATCTTGGGGCAGCTAGATAGGGTGACAAATTTGGAAGACCGTGCCTTGCTGGAGGAGGATCGGTGTTTGTGGTCAAGCAATGGTCTGCAGAAGAGTTTCTGGACAGAGGCTTCGATATATTTGGGTCATCCTATTAAAGAGTTGTCAACTGCTGTGATTGGAGGTAAAACTTCATTAGAAGATAGGTCTGGTAGTGTCACTTTGGTTGAGGCTTCGATGAGGAAGCCAATTGACTCTCAGCAGGTGGAGAGTTTTGGACAGACCTTAGATGTATCGCAGCGGGTGGAGATTGATGCTACTCCATATTGGGTGAAGATTACTCCAGATCATTCTGCATTGGTTGGGATTCCAGCTGAGGTGACACAGCGTGGAAGTCATTTGGATTCGGATGCAGATGATGAGTTAGGTTTTGACTCGAGTGCAGCTGATAGATACAGTTTGGATATGACCATTGGTTCACCTCAGGTGGAGGTGTTTGAGACCATTGGAGGTGCTATCAGACGCAGAGTAGATGATATTGGAGAAGGGTTGCGAACTCTTCTATTGGATTGAGGTCGTTCGCGGCCATTTGGGTGAACTACGTTCGGCTTGATTCCTTGGGCAAGAGGATACGTAGGCAGTCTTATGATGCAGCCGGGTTAGATTTTGATGGGGGTGAGATCGATTTGGTGAGTTGATACTGACATTTGGAGAGTGTTTGCATTCTCATTTGGGTTCTCGACTTGTTATGGATTGAGTCTGTTGTCGTGAATTATTCCACGGTGTACTGGACACAACAAGTGAGACATTTGGTTTGGTTAGTGTCGGCTCAGTTTTGAGAAAACTTCGCCGAGGTGGAGAATTGTGAACACGTGGGCCATAACTTTGAGCAGCAATTTCTTTTCTTTTCTTTGGTGGCTGCGGCAGGGCATGCAAGAGCGGCTTTTGGTGAAAGGCGCAGTGCAGAGAGGGAAGAAAATCGGCTGAGAGAGTGTGGGAACTGTCTCGGGTTTTGTGAAGAGAGAAAAAGTATTTGGAGGCTGACCTTTTCTTGTGAAGAAAAGCAAGGAGCCTATTTGAGGGTTTAGATTGTGAGAGTTGTAAACCCATTGTATTCTTTTTCTCTTTAATAGTAGATCTCCCTCTCCTTGCCCCGTGGACGTAGGCAGTTTGCCGAACCACGTAAAATTGGTTGTTTGAGTTTGTGGCCATTGTAATAGTTTTAGAATCCCTCGACGCGCAGTCCTAGAGCTGACGAGAGGAAGAGCAAATATCCCACTTTGATGGGATATTAGGCTTTCAGATTCTTGTTCCCTTTGAGAAACAAGAATTCTTATCGATCTTTCTCTCTTATTGTGCACCAGAAACTCTGCCGAAATTTCCGCTGCGCACAACATAGTTTCTATAAAATTATAAGTCTGATCCAAAGAGAAGTCGGATCCAAAAATGTATCAATCGAGGAGAAAAATCAGGAAAATGTTAGAATCAACATTATGATTTAAGTTTCTTACCTCCAAAGTGAATTGGTCCAAAATAGAAGAAGCGAATATGCAATAGAGAGGAATAGAGAACTAAAGATAATGAAGAACCCTAGAATTAGAGAGGACACTATTGTCGGGGTATTTTATCGCTATCAGGTCGCGTGAGAGAAAAATATATCAAGCTGCAGAGAAGTAACTCTATATGAACTATAATGGGTCGGCTTTAAGCTGATGTAAATAGTAATTAGAATGGGTAATACAATTCGGTCAGTTTGGATTTAAAAAAAAAACTAACCCGACCCCAACCGAACTCTAATAAAAACTGAACCGAACTGTTAAATTTCGGCCGGCCGATTCAGTTGGTTTGATCGGTTTGAACCCCTGCCTCTCTTTCTCTCTCTCTCTATCTGTTCCCTACCTCTCTTTCTCTCTCTGTATCTGTTTCTTTTTTTTTCTTTTTTCTTTCTTTCTTTTTGGGATCATGTTTCTTTTGATGGATAGGGTTCAATCAAGTAGGTCCAGAGAAAACTATTTCTGGGCCTTGTTGACATTTATTAAAGCCCAATTACGGCGAGGCATATTTATAGTGGAGAGCCCTAGGCCTAACAGCCTCTGTTGCTGACCAAGGGTCCATTTGTTCAGCTGGGTGATACGAGGGAGAAATCATATGCTCATATGTGTTCTACTACCATTTTTAAGTCAATGTAATCCGTATATAAAATTATAAGCTATGATTTTTCCATAGATAAAAAGTGAATAAGTTAATCCAGATAAATCCATGTATAATGTGATTTTAAAAACTTAATGACATATGTATATGACGACCATCGCCACAAGTCTAATCAAACAATTTAAAGAAATGTTCTTTTTCTAGAGAAAAAGAAGTTTA